GGAATATCTTATAAAAAAAAATATTCAGTCCAACTAAAACTAGCTATGTTCTCCTGAGATTATGACCAGATACAGTAATTGACTCAATGATAATCTTATCTGGAAATTCATAAATACTTACAAAGATTTTATTATAAAAATTATTCATCAAAACTAGAAAAGCAATATATTAAACACCTCCTAGGAAGAGAAGTTTGCTATACAACTGAGAACGAATGATATTACAGAGTAAACATTTCACCTGTATGCAAGAGCATGTTTTAAAAACCACTTGTGCACAATGGCTGTTGACAGTTGCTATTAATTAAGAGGAATTTTATTTTCATTAGAGCAGGCCCAGTGGCGTCTCCACTTATAACAGTTATTTATTAAAAGTAATTCAAATTTTTCTTAATAAACAAACAAAAACAGCAACTTAGTGTTGCTACTAATTTAATGCAGAGCATTAAATTTACTAACCAGAGCAGCGTTTCCCAAAGTGTGTTCCACGTGGCCACCTTTCTAGGGAGGAAGGTTCCAGTCTGGTCTGGAAAACACTTCCTTGGAGGGTCCCTGTGCAAATCTGAATAGGGAAACCTTTGGGAGGGCTCAGGGTGAGGGGAACCTGTTGCACTTTGTTTTACTCAGTTTCCTAAGTGATTCTGGAACCTTTTATCCTCCCTCAAGGAAAGCCTATGAACATCTTACCTGATTAATCCTCCACGGTGCACTGATACTGAAGCCACTTGGGGAAAACTGCATTTAGGGGTCTAAAACCCTCTGACAATACCACCTGCCCATCTTCCCTTCTTGTGGTTAACATATGAGATCAGCGGACTCTATTGTCTACTGTCCCCTGTACTCAGGGATTGTGATGCCCTTACCCCAAAATGGGCCCATTATCTGCCACGAGGCAAGAGGGGCATCCCTGTTACAAGTTCCCCACGTCCACAACTGATGTTTGTTTGCTTTTGATACTTCTGTAAAGGAATACTTCTGGGTTATTACTCAGACTTCCCGAGGTCAAGTAAGAAGATGCTGAGGCCAGAGGTTAGTTAGCACAGGCCTCTGAACCAGGGCGGCGATATTCCTCTCAAACCACGCGCAGAGCGGTAGCTTGGCAGGCCCAGATAGGCCGAGCTGTCCCGAGGCCCAGCGCCCTTCACACACCTGAATTCATTCTTCTTTGCAGGGGGCCCAGAGCAGGGCAGGTCAATCTGGGCACTCCAGGGGCTGCATGTGATTGGAAAAAAGCCAGGCTCACAAACCTCCTTTCACCAGGCTCCATTTCCAGAAGCCGCGGTGTTTATCTCACCATGATCAATGAGAGAGAGAGAGAGACACCTCTACTTTGCTGTGCAAAAAAGCAGTAAGTTCCAAGAAATGATTCTCAAGGAGACGAAACTTCAACCTCGTTGTGCAACAACCAAGCCCCCTGAGAAGACTAACACAGGATGTGACTGCAATGCCTTGTACTATTCATGAGAGTCCCTCCAACTCAACCTGAGGGCTGGTGTGGGGGGTGTCACCGTCCATCACCTCATTCATGCAAAGTGAGCTTACTCTTTGAGGAACTTCTGCAAAGCAAATCAAAATCATTTGCAAGTCTGAAGAGAAATGCCAAACCCAGAACGCTTTGATAAATTCTGATACAACATGGCTCACAGAAGCACGCTGGATTTTAAGGAAGATTTTGTGCCCTTCAAGTCTGTTATACGATGTATTTTTCTTATTCATTTTAACCACATCTAGAAATCCCCCAAGATTCCACTCTCTGAGCAAGGAAAGTTACAAAAGAGAATGCGAAACAGGCTCATTTTCGCAAGCAAAATGAAACACTTTTATGTTTTATTCATGCAAAGTGAAAACCCCTTCCTTTGCAGCATTACAAATTGAATTTGCTCTTGTAAACTGCTGTTTAAAAAAAATCAAAAGCAAAGGCAAGTTAAAAAAAAAAAAGGGAGTACAAAGTCCCCTTTTCCTAGGGAATGAAAACTCAGGGGACCAATAGGAAGAAATAGAGCCTTTCACTGGAAAATATAACTTTTAAATTTACTGTTTCTAAAAGAAAAGTGACTCAAGCCGCCGCCGCCCCCCCCCACCAAGCCCATAATCCAATTCATATTCTGACAGCCTGTGCAGAATCCTGGGTGTATTTCTAAATTACATTTATCTGCTAACATTGAGTGAGGATAAGAAGTGATTTAAACACATGAGTAATGCAGCCCACATTCAAAAACACAGCCAAGGCAACGTAGGCTAATTTACACTGATCTCATTGGGGGGGGGTGTTTGACGTGGGAGGCTCTTCCTACTTTGTAGGACAGCTGAACTCACTAGCGTCCGGAACAGCCTCTCATCCTCTGTATCACATGGACAACTGTCCCGGAAGCTTCCCTGAGGTCTGACTCCCTGACCCACGCTGTTGCTGAAAGGAAGCCATGGTATCAGCTGCATCCCTTAGCGTATATTGCTTTAAAAAGCAAGAGCTAACATTCACTGGGCACTTACCATGTCCCTGTCACTGTATACACACACACACACACACACACACGCACGCATGCTGTGGTCCTTATTATGATGTCCACTTCACAGATGAGGAAAACTGAGGCTCAGAGAGCTTGAATGATTTTGTCAACAGTGGTTTGGATCACGTTCTCCTCCAGGCATGCAGTATTTGGCTTCACTTTAAAGGGGCAGGATGAACTGAAAACCTTCTCATTAAAATCCACTGGCACCTTGACCTTAAGAAAAGCTTGCCTCTGGCGCCAGCCACATACACCTAAGGTGGCAGGTTCAAATCCAGCTTGGACCCGCCAAAACAACAATGATGGCTGCAACCAAAAATAGCCAGGCGTTGTGGCGGGCGCCTGTGGTCCCAGCTACT